CCCCAAAACCCCAAAACCCCAAAACCCCAAAACCCCATAAATGAACCTTAATGCTGAATATATCAATGAAAGATTTTAACAACAAAGATGGCTGGCTAGTCCAGCTTACTAAAAACTGTGTTTACTTCCTTGGAGAGACAAATATGCAGGTGATTAGTGAGCTATGCCCACTCCACACCTTATTTGCACTGTTTTTGTGGTATTACTATGGAGTTGCTTACGGATTTTTGATTGGAATCGTGATATACCTAGTGGCTAGTACTATTCTAGACTATATGGGATACCAATTCATTTCAGGCATAGATGCTATCTCTGCTCACGAGATACATCAAAACAATATTAGAAACTGAGCATGTAAGTCTTAATAATATCTTTTTGAAAAATTGCACAATTTTTAATATGAGTGACGTAGTCTCAAGCAATGATGAGGTGAACTATCGTATCTTAATGCTCAAACTTTATTGGCTAGCAATCCTTTTACAAAGTTAGTAATACAATAGTACATTTTATTTTAAAAGACTATGATTTCCCAGGCTCACCTTCTCTTTCAGAATGCCTTAATCAATTTTATAGGCTATATGAAATGAGGCTCTTTAAAAGCAGAAGAACTTAGGGAGAAATACTTCAGAAACAAAGCAATCTTAAAGTTCAGAAGGCTAAGACAAATCTGGGTTAAATTCCTTGGCTTCTGGCTCTTCAAGGACATCTCTCCAGAGACTGCAAAGCATCAAGTAAAGAAGATAACGAAAAAGATTCACAGTGAGAAAGAAATAGGCGATTACATGGCAAGCTTAATTTCAACTCCTCTTGATGAGTCGAGACCTTTATGGGAGATCCATGTCAAGGAAAACTTTGACGATGATACTTCTATTGTCTTCATTGTTTTCCATCACATTATTGGAGATGGGATGGGCATGATGAATATGATGACATTCTTAAATGACAACCATAACCCAGATATTTTGCAAAGTAAGACATTTTAACTTAGATTATAGAGCACAGATCGATCCCATTTTTGTATCGATATGTCCTTCCTCTCTTCTATGTTCCTCTTGGATTACTCAGGTTCATAATTGATAGTCGGGTGGTTAGAGGTGATCAGAGCTTGACTCCCTTGCATCTCAAGGATGGAATCCAGTCATCAGAAAAGAGCTATCATTGAACTAAATATTTTGAATTAGAAGACTTGAGAAAACGATATACTCAGTACAAAGACACTAAGCTGAACAGCTACATGTTTGCTATAATCTCAAGCTCTCTATCAGACTGTTTAGAAGAGTATGGAATCTCGAAGGAAAAGCAAACTCACTTCAGTTTATCTGTTCCTGTAAATATGAAACCCCCTGCAACCTGCCTCGATGAGGTAGAGTTTGGCAACACTTGCTCTCTAGCATTAGTGAATGTCCCACTTGGGAAAGATATGGGAAATACTCTGGCAGATCTCAAGTCAAAATTTTCAAAAGCTATGACTCTCTACAATCTTAGATTTGGTGTATGGGCTGTTTCATTTATGGGAGCTTGCCCTGAGTTTTTATACAGGATAATTTCTTATGGACCTCAAAAAGAATTAGATATGATCATATCCAACACTCCTGGTCCTAAAAATCCGATATATTTTTGTGATAAGAAAGTTACAGATATTGGAGGCTCTGGGCCAAACGTTGGATCAACTGGACTGACACTACTCATTTCTTCGTACTGAGATAAGGTTAAGGTGCAAGCTCTCTCAGATAAAAATCTTATGATGGACGCTTCTAAACTGATAAAAACTATCGAAAGCAAAATGTAAGCAATATATTTATTTGCCCATTTTAATTTTATGAAAGTTCCATCCATAATGGTTATGACATCCAATGATATAATTTCAATCAATATCGCGTCATTAGGGGTTTTGGGGTTTTGGGGTTTTGGGG